TCGCTCCGTGGAGTAATAAATTGAATTGCGGTTCATCGTTTAAATATTTTATGAGACATAAGAGAGTTGAAAAACATTAAGCTAAATAAATAGCAAAATCAGAAATAGTTATAATCCAAAATATTTACAAACAAATGTAAACTTGGTTAATTACAGTCTCAAAAGGATAATATTTTTTGCCCGTTTTTATGTGCATTTATGTATTTGTTTTGTATTTTTATAAGTTTCATTATGACCTTCTGTAGTCTATACGACTAACCGTGGGTTTCTGAGACGATAACCCCCATTTAAACCATACTGTTATCTCTTGTTTGTCAAAGATAATGACAGGGATGTCGATATAATTTATACAGAGGTTTGTATCTCAGAAACCAACATTAAGCTGATTTTGACGAATGAAATTTTATATATTATGTCTATTTTTATTAAGTAAATTAAATAGTAAATAAGTAATAGTAAAACACATACTTAATTAAAAAAATACTTAAAAAAACAAAGTAATTAATGTACTAATTTACAAAAAAAAAACAATAAACTTCCGCCCAACACTTAACAATAGTAAAAATGGGAATGGCGAAACAGTGAGGAATTGAAAACATTTTTCTGTACAAGGTTAAAACTGGCAACAGTTTATCTTTCAGTTAACTATTTTGTTTTACTTAGAACTAATTAGAACACAAAAATAAAGTAAGAAAATACTAATTAATATAACATCAAAAGTTATAATAATACTCATCACCACGGCTATTAGCAGACGGAAAAGACATAACATACATCTCTTTCAATCTCTTTGATAATGCTGAAATAGCAATATATTCTTACAAATGTATAGGCAATGGAAACACGCGACAAATTTTTACACATATCATTTTTATTAATTTACTAAACACTAGTCGCCCGTGACTCCACCAGCGAGGTATTAAAAATAATTGGATGAGCCCATGTGTTCTTTCTAACGCCCCGAGATGAGGTTTCTTAGGGTCCAAGCTTAGTTACTCATAAACGAGGTTTAGGCTAAGTGTCATCTGTGCTCGGCCACCTCAAGTCAAACAAAAAACAGATGTGTTTTTCCAAACTATCTTCTACATCTATGCCAAATTTCAATGAGATCCATGCAGCTGTTCTAGAGATAATTTCAAACAAACATTCGCATTTATAATATTGATAAGATTTTAGCATTTTGTTTCACATTAAAAAGGGTCCGTGGTAAAAAAATACGTTCATTGAAATATTCCAACGTCTAAATACTTCAAAGAAAAATAAAAATAATTTTGATGTAAAAGAACATACATTTCAACATTTCATTTATACGTAAAAGATATTTTTATGAATTCAACTTCTAGGAAATTTCTCCAAGTATGAGGAAGCATTTAGATGAGAATATGAATGTTCTTCTTCTCACAAAATTGCTATTATAAGTAAATATTTTACGCCTTATATTACACACTAGTTGTCGTCCGCGACTTCTTCAGCGAAGAATAAAATATAATGGTTCTACCATTTCGGTGATTGATTTTTTTTGGTTTGAAGTAATTCATCATCATCAGCTCACTAAAAGTCCCCGTTGAGGGCGTAATCGAAGCATATCTTGAGTTAGACGTGAATAGGCTTTTGTCAACAATACTGGCCACAATGCGGGTTGACTTATAGATATGTATGTTTTGAATCCCAGATCTATGCAGGTTGCATCACGATGTTTTCCTTCTCAATAAGATTGAGATAAATCGAAAACCACATTGGTACACGGCGGGATTCGAACCCAGAACCTGCAGTGCAAGTTAAGAGCTTAACCTCTGAGCCACCGACGCACTCCATCTCATATATAAAATTCTCGTGTCACAATTTTCGTTCCCATACTCCTCAGAAACGGCTTGACCGATTCTTATGAAATTTTGTGTTGGCATGCTTCTCAATATGAGAAGGTCTGAGAATCGGCCAACATCTATTTTTAATCCTGCGTGGACGGAGTCGCGGGCGATAGCTAGTATTTTTATAAATAATTCAATTTAGAGTATTTAAGGGATTGCTCTGTTATAGAAAGCGATAACAATTACCGCTGTATTGAATCCTAGCTTCGAAACGATCTAGCTATTAACACTAACGAGGACAAGTTAAATTTGATAGGATAATATTCTCATGGGCAGTTTTCCTTTACCTTATAGGTCTTTACTTTTAAACTGCTATTGGAGGGCCAAATTGATAGGACACATTTTACATCCATCAATTTTAGTTTCATAGTGAGGTGAACTGCTTCAAACATCGATTAAAGTAAATTCTATACGGAACATAAATGAATCAAAACAGTTGTAATGAAAAATCAATATTTTTTGTTCGATTTTTATAAGTATTTGAAAAGTATATTTTTGTAAATGTTTAAAAAGAAAAAAGGTTCACTGACGCAAATTGTAACGTCGTTCGATTGACATAATTATAATAAATATGCATACGAATATGTGAAGTTTTAATTAAAAAAAAATAATAATATTATATGCCCGCCGTTACAAGGTTACGTTGAAATTAGATGAAATGCCAAATTGGTCGTGCTATAAATACATTTCGAGTAATATAAACAAAATCGTCCAGTTGGCTGAGATATATTAAATATTAACGCTTTTATAAAAGTCTCGCGAGAGTTACTTTTGTCACTAAATTATGTTACTAACAAGCTAATTAACTTGGTTTACATTTTATATTTGTCAGTAATTCTTTAATTAATGAGAAAGGCGTCAGTAAAGAACTGGCTGAAAACTAAAGGTAAATATCAGACCGAATTCGTGTTAATATCGTTTGGTGACATTTTTTGAATGAGTTGAAAGTAATAAAAATGTTGGCCGGTTTTAATATTAAAAATAAAACAGTTCAAAGTTTTTTTGCAGATTTCCGGATAAATCTATCGTGTCGTTTGGTTTTAAATATTGAACATTCGTAAAACTCGACTTTTGACACTTTTCAAAAATATTTCTATTTAATTTACATACGTAGATGGAGTTACTATGTATATACTTATTATACAATTTAAATTGGATGGATGGGTACATAGATGTTGTTTGAAGGTTTCTTCTCAACGGCTGAACGGATCTCCCTAAAATTTGGCATAGATGGAAGAACACGTAGGCTACTTTTTAAATTTATTTATTCATTCCAAGCGGACGGAGTGGCGGGCGAAAGCTATATAAAATATGACCTGGAAACATGTTGTGGCAGTGAAAATTCACGATAGTAATACTAAAGCTGTTTGTGAGCTTTATAATCCAAAATGCCTCATGGATTATGACAGTCATAAGGTCATATTTGCCGTGTAGTTTGTGAACGTATTGAAAGTTATTTTAGTATGTCATTCATTTAAAATAGAGTCATTCAATAGAAATGCGAAGATGGAATAACAACGGTAAATAAATATAAGAAATATTTGTTTTAATTGTTATCGATGCCAACTTTCAGAATATTAGAAGTATCTTTTACGGTTGGTTCCTGATGCTAAAATATGTGTTTCAAATATATCGTCATCCCTGTCTTTCATCTTTCACAAAACAGAGACAATATGTTTTAAACGGGTTTTTGTTCTCTGAAACCCACTGTTAGTAATTTGCTTAGACAAATTGTAAAGCGTCGGCAAATTGCATATCCGATAATTTCATTAACTTACTAACGTATTACGAAACGTTTCGAAAGGACACGCATAATGTCTAAACTATTTATAATTTGCCTAGGAAAATTACAAATGTGTAGAGTTCATGATCCGTCATCTAATATTATTCTGTACCTTCTTATAATACTTTTTATCATAAATATATGTTGTGTTACAGATCAGAAATTATGAACGTTGAAAGAAAAATTTAATTTAAATTGTTTATTCTCTGTATTTTATTTTCAACAGGCCCATTTTATGAAATAAATTAATGGCACTCGATAAATAGCCCGCGCTCGTCCGCCAGCCGTGGGGTAAATTGCGGAAAATATTCATTTGTTGTGGAAATTTGATTACCTAAATTGAAGCCTTCGATAGGCTTACACAGAACAATTCCGTACAGAGGCAACAAAAAAGTATTACAAATAAAATCATTAAATGTTTTACAAGTGAACTGAACTGTATCATTTTTACACGAAATTCACTTACTTACACATAAGCCCAAGTTTACCAATTTTTTTGTATTTAGAGTTGATGGACCAGACCCAAAACGGGATGGAAAGATGTACTAATAAAAGAATGAGTGAGTACCAAGTCTCAGAAGAAGATGTCATGAACAGAGCGAAATGGAAGAGACGGATTGGGAAAGCGGACCCCACCACATTGTGGGATGTAAGCTAGGCAAAGAGAGAGAGATTTGATGGCCGAATTCTTTAAAAATGATCAAAGAATGTTGATTTAATAAAATATTATTTCTCACGGCGTTGTCTCTGTTGTGTTATTACTCTATGCATTATGTAAAAAGGACTCATGTTCCTTAATAGAAAATTTATTTTTAATCGTTTTGTAATGGCCCTGTCATGTACAAGATGTAAATAATTTTCACAGAGATTGTGTGAATATAAATTATATGTTAAAATAGGTATGTAACAAATGTATATATAACAAATTGTTATTATATATTTAATATCTATTCTTATTTATCTTAGAAACTGTTTTTCTTAACTAGGTGTTGACGTGGTAGAAATATACGCTACAACTTACAACGAATGTTGAAACATTTCTTGGAACTTATATTTTTCTTGTACCTTAAATTTCTTGATCGCAAACTTTATTATAAATATTTTATTTAAATTCTTAGCATTTATTTTCTAATAAGTTCCATTACCGTTAAAGAAAATGCTTCTATAAGGCGAAAGAAATTTATATTATAAAATTAATTAATAATGTAAATATCTTTTCCCTACTCTACTATAGTCTATAAACCTAAAAAAAATATTAAAAAATTGCCCGTATTTATTTTTTATCTTTAAATATTACCTGTGCTCGTAAATAACGTAATGACATTCATAATTGTCAATATCATAAACAACCTAATGTTTTGGTGTTTTTAAATAAAAATTTTGCGATGTATACCGTACTTACGCCATGATAATATTTACCAACGTGGGAAGATTGGATAACGAGGAACTTACGTTCAGAAGAAGGGCTTTAAGAGATGCTGTTATTTGTGTTGGCTGGATAAAAATCGCAAGTATTATTTCTCATAATTATTTTTTTAACAATCCTTAGTATAATCAAACTGTCTGTCTGTGGTAGAGTTTACAGCAACATTGGCTGTTTCTTGTATGGTGCAAGCCATGACCACGCAAAAGATAGCTAAAAGGAAGTTTCCATGATTCTTCTTATAACATTCGTTTTAATATGGAAGGTTTAGGAGGTGTAGACCGTTATTTCATTTTAGCATTTTAATTTTGTGTATTTAATCATTTAAACTTATATAAAAACGGATAAACACTCACGTATATTCGTCGGGTGGTGGCGAAGACTGGTTTCGAGCCCATCGGCGTCCGCGATATACCAGTCCCACTCACCCTAATTAATGGCCCCTGATGGGTTCAAAACTAGTCGGTGCCGCCACCGGACGAATATACGTGAGTGTTTAGCCGTTTTTATATAAGTTTATTATAATGTCTCACGAAAGTTTGAATAATTTTATACCTAATCATTTTTTATTCTTTCCAGAGTTCTGTGGTGTGTTATTTAATAATGTTCTTTATGTCGTATATGAATACAAATACGACGATGGGCTATATTTTACAAATTATGACTTTACTACCAATTGTGCCTCAGGTTGTGCTTGCTGTTCTATTGTTTTTGGGAGCGGTTGAGGTTAGTATTATGTTTTTTTAATGAGAACACAACAAAGTATGTTTATTAGAAGAACTTTTAAGTAACTTTTTTAAATTATTTATCTTGCTTTAATACCATGTTTTGAAATTGTACAAACGCATGAACGTGTAATTTGACTAATATATTTAATATGGAGGAGATACATAAAGATATTTTTTTTTATATAAAAAGAAAAAAACCTTTGGATATGTACTCTGGTCAAATGTCGATTAATGGGCGGCTACCTGTTATATTCTATTTGATTTGAGTTCTAATTTTTGTTTGATAATCGAATACTTAAGTATTAATAGTAACATTATTTTTTCAAGTGAAACAAAATGTAAGGAGCTATTTGATTTTAAGAAGTTGAATCCAATTTTCAGTTCCTTATATTTGACTTGATAATTGATTCTTTTTTCTCTAAAATATCTTCAAGCATCGATATACGAGGTCACGTCAGAATAGTTGTATAGATCTGGATGAAATTCGAATCAGAGTTAGCTCATATGCTTATTTTTATTTCACGCGACTGACTGGCAACTATTACTTTTAAATAAAATTTAATTTGTTGCAGCAACGTGTTCCAGTTCTTCAGTTGGCAATATGGATGTGTGTGGTGATAGGTGGTTACAATGCATTGCTGGGGACAATAGGTTTTGCCTACTATATAAGAACTGGGTATCTTACGATGCACTTTCTATTAGCTGTGATGTTTGCTGTACTTGCCGTGTCAATATTTGGTAAATATATTAAATATTTTTGTTAATTTATCAAAGAAATTATAATAACTTACACAATAATTAAAGGATTCAACAGATTACGCTACTGTACGGTTGCCGACATCAGAATCCCCGTTTAAAACATATCGTTATCTTTGTCTTCGCTAAGATAATAACCTGTTATTATCTTAACACATCATCATCCCTGGATGATGATGTGTTTTATACAGAGATTTTGGCCTAAGAAACCAAAGGATAAAACATCTTACTATTATTATAAATGCGAATGTAGAACATAGTCTGGAAAAACACATAGGCTACTAATTTTGTTTGTTTTTAATTCCTAGCGAACTGCATCGCGGGCTATCGTTAGTTTTAAATAAGATTATGCGAACCAGTACCTTTGACTGTCAAAAATCGCTACAAAAGTACAGATACATACTTAGAATTGGTATTCGCTGTATAAATATGTGTTTTACTTTCTCTATCTATGTTTATGTAGCCGAGAAAAACATTACTCTGCTGCCAGTAACATATTTTATTACCAGCCATAGTCAACCAACCCGCACTTGGCCAGCGTGGTTGACTACGGCCTAATCACTAACTTAGGGTAGGCTCCGAGCCCCTCGGAGGGGACGTATAGTGAGCTGATGATGATGAATTTTATTTCAGCTGTACTTTGCAACGATATACTTATAATACAAAGTTACAAACAAATTCTATGCCCATCTGTTCCGACATTGCCAACCGAGACATAGCGATATTAATGAAAACCTAAGCTTGAATCATAAAAGAGTAAATAAATGATTAAATATTGATCTTCTGTTTAATTTATAATCTTCTAATTTAAATTATAAATGCGAATGTTTAGATGGATAGATGTTTGTTTGGAAGGTATCTCCGCAACGACTCAGCGGATGTTACTGAAACTTGACAGATGTAGAACATAGTCTGGAAGGATACTTAGGCTATTTATTATTTCGCACAGATGGAGTCGCGGACGACACCTTGTAATTACTTATATTTGATCTACTCTAGTAGTCTTTTAAGGTAATTTTAAACTAAAAATAAACGTCTAACACTACTTATATACTTGCTGTATTTATGTACTAGCATTCCAATATATTTCTATATGTAAGATATGAGAAATTTTATACGTATTACATAGAAAATTCAATCTAGCGAGTGGACGAAAAGTTAATATTTTCTGAAAGCATAGTGCGTAGTATATTTTATCATCAGGAATATATGAAAATATATATAAGTTCGGTAACTTTTCTTTCAATATATCAAATTGTTATTATGTTTATGTGAATCAAGTATTTTTTGTTTTCTTTATTACCGGTCAGGTATAATTTACTAATATTAAAAATGTCAATTTTTAGCTGTATGTTTGAAGATATCTCTAGAACGGCTACACAGATCGCGATGAAATTTGGCATGACATATAGAACACTGTAAGAACGCATAGGCTACTAATTATGTTTTTTTTTAATTCCGTGCGGACGGAGTCGCGGGCGACAGCTAGTTTTTTATATTTGAAAAAATGCAATAAGAGAATTCTCTGATATAACAAGAATTATCTCGATTAGTTATTTTAAAGAATTAAAAAAAAAGTGTGATTATATGACACTGTAGAGAAGACGAATCGAATCCTCACTCGTCGAAATCGGTTCAGTCGTTTTGGTCGCTACAAAGAAACTTATTTACATTGAAATCCAAATACTGACTTATCCGTGAAAAACATTGCTCTCCCGTGTCAGTCAGGTAAAAGTGAAGAATTTTCAAACACCGTGTGATTAGCCCCTTTCGTAATGACGGATGGAAAATTCAAGTTTTGATTAATTTTCCTTCCGTCTTCCGAGAAATAACAGCCGTCTGTCAGAAGGAAAGTTTTATTGTTTCTAATTATGGAATACCAATATCAACGATTCATCCCTTGTAATAAGTAAAATATTCTGGCGTTTAATATTTAAGCCGCTTTATTATAGTCTTATTTCCCTTCGTATCCGGAGGAAGTGGATTTGACGGAGGAGGGGAAATATTCTTTTTCTGCATCGATTAAACGCATCTGCAATTGCGGACGTCTATGGGCAGTTGCTTCGCTGCTTCGGTCACTTGTCCTTTGCCACTTCTTTCCCCTGGAATGTCATTTCGAAAATTGTGAGATACAGTGAACTCTATGTCACCATTTCTTTAATAAAAGTGTGTGTAATATTAATAGAGAAAGTGAGATAAACTTAGTCACAATAATTTTTGCCAATTACTGTTTGGCGTAAGTAAAATTGTGACTCGTAAAAAGTGTGTATCATAATATGACTATATTTTCAGTCATACTAATTATCATGTAAGTTATCCTATTGCAAAAAAAAACAAATAGTCCACTTGTCTATCGCGATAACAGACATTGAAACGTTATTCAGAATTTATACAGTTCCGTCTAATAAAAGCTGGTTAGATAGCAGCTGAACCAACATTCGGCTGGCCGTGGACTGTAATTTGCATTTAGTGTACGAGGAAACGGAATACCCAACTCCTTTATATTCAGTTTTTAAAGCAAATTATACGTTATATTAAAACCTCCGAAGTTAAGTACATTCGATGATCCGATATGTATGGAAATACGAATACATGTAACACGCAAACAAGACTAAAGTAATCTAATAACACTCAGAGTTTTAAGTCATCAAGGGAGCCCTTAGTGTAGCTCAGTCTTTCCCAAAGTGGGCGATAACGCCCCCTTGTGGGCGCTGCAGTTCTCAAGTTGCGGGTTATAGTAAAAGTTTCGTTTAGAATTCGCCGTTAATATACATATATAGGTCACAATAATTAATTAATTTAATTTGAAGTTATAATGGTTTTTAAATATGTGAAAATATGGGGGCGCTAAAAAAATATATATTCTTAAAGTGGGCAGTAGACAAAATAAGTTTGGGAACCACTGGTGTAGATTGACTATGTTAAAGTAAGCTACTGTTTAAAATGTCAAATAAGACTGCATGCAGTGAGACATTTTAAATCTTTTTTTTAAGTATGTCTAAATTAGACAGAAATTTAGAGAACAGGCTTCCTGTGTAGTATGAAAATTTGCGAGATATAGTTCGTAGGGTCTTCGACATCATTTGTGTTAGGTACAAGGAAATCGAGCGTAAAGTATAAGGACAAATCTCACACAAATTTTGTTTATGACGTTAAAAATATTCTCTTACTTTTCGTGCTACGCACCTCAAGAAGAACGTATTTAAGAATTACTTGGAAGAATATAGCAGAACCAATATTCGTTATAATTACAATGATAAATACAGTTTCCTGTATAACTATAATTTAAGCAGAAGTTTGCTTAATCCCAAATCATTAAATAAAAGTTTTTTGCCCCTAAGATTTAAAGAAATAAAGTTAAAAACTTTGTCCAAAACTGGTACAGAATTAACTTGTCCTAAGCTTGAACATATGCACTTTTAAAACTCATTAAAACGAATTTTTTACGTACCTTGTTAGCAGAGAAACTCTTTGCTGTACTTTTCTAGTTATTATTTCCTTGAAAAATTGTTAAACTCAAAGCTTGTAATAGTTATATTTTATTTTTAAAGTTATTTTATTGAAGTATTTGTACTTTTAATTGTGATTTTCTTGTTAATAGCACGTTTAGTATATACGTATATTTCACATGTGTTCAAAATGATTACGAAGATTCTTCGGTTTCAAGCTAAGAATTTTATTAACAAGGAGTTTAAGTATCTATCTTTACTTTAATTCTACCACGAGGAGTGCTCTGAAGAATTGTTTGGAACGATTCCTGTCACCGAGTTCCGTCATCGGACGACACGACAGATCGCCAGGTTCCATCCACACCATCTGGATGGCTGGCAATCCACAAACGTGCGGTTTGCGCGAAACTTCCTACCTCGTACAGCAGTCTTCGGCGGTATTTCCAAACCGCTACGACTTAGGGTCAAGAAACGAGCGTATGCCCATCTCAAAAGCCGGCAACACATCTGCGGTTCCTCTGGTATTGCTGATGTCTATGGGCGCCGTTGAAAACTTCGGTGTTTCCGCTGCTCCTTTGCCCCTTTCTGTTATAAAAATATTATTAAATTTACCTTTACTTATTTAGTCATACCTTAATTCATTTATCCCACTATTTCAAAATATTACATTTCGATTGAAAATGTTGTATACTTATTTTATTTCTAATATTATTTAACAAGTTATAATAGTCTTAATATTTCGACTTCATTTAACTTAAAAATGAAATTGGTGTTTTTTTATGTTTAAACTTCTTTTTTTCTTTAATTTTCTTCAAGAAAAAGATAATAGATATGTTTCATAACTGTTTATCAAAGGGTAAATCAACTTCAATTCGTTTAATAATGAATTCTGACAAATCTTTTAATAAAACCGTCTCCGGCAGAAATAACTTGTTACTATACTTTTTTTATTCAATTTAAATAATATTAAGTCTTAAATTTATCTTCTCTTCTTTCTTAAATTTTTTTCAGGAATTCTTTTTATTATTGTTTTTCTTCTTAGGGAAGCTGTATAGCTCCTTATTTATAAGCTTAGCTCAATATTAGCTGTTGTAGTTATTGAGCTGATAAATACACATATGTAAATACACACATTAAAAACTATATTTTTTGTAAGCTTTGCAAAAGTCTGGACAACTTATAAATCTTACTAATATTATAAATGCGAATGTTGAGATGGATGGATGAATGTATATCTGGTATCTGCAGAACGGCTTAAACGGAACGTCATAAAACTGGTTTGAATGTGTACCTAGCCTGGGAGAAAACATAGACTACTAATTTTTTTTTAATTACGCCCGGACGGAGTCGCGGCTGACAGCTAGAGTTGTTATAACCTAAAGTTTCACTCGGTTATACAAAAGTATTTCACGTTAAGATACCGTGTTTCCGCCCCTACGTTACAAAGTTAACAGTACTTCCTAAATTACTTTAATTATCCTTGTTTGTTGGAGTTGTCATCTCTCAACGTATGTTTGGCGAAATGAAAAAGTTTTTTGTTCACCTTTGTTGTTTTAAATATAATTATTATGAGTACATACTAGCTGTAGCCCACGACTTCCACGTGGAATTAAAAAATATATAGCCCATTCTCAGACCTATTGAATGTGCATATAAAAATTTTATAAACATTGGTCAAATGCTTCAGGGGAGTATGGTTACTAGTATTGTAATTGTAGGTAACGTAGTAAGATTAGTTTTACAAGTCCTATTTTGAAAGCGTACGACAAAACTTCTCTGTTGTCTGAGTGATCCACTTTTAAGGTCGGTGTATCTAAAAAATTATATTTATGTAGTATTTATTATATGTACGAGCTTTCTTGAAATACTAAACTGTTTTTTATTATTTTTTTTTAATTTAAATTCATTAGGGGACATGGTTTTTTAATCGGTTTATGAATACAACTTCTACAAGACTTAGAACTAGAAATAATTTAATAGAAAAAGGTGGAACGAAACGCGAAGCAAGTAAAGTCGATCAGTTTTACCTTAAAACACCTTTATAAAAAAAGTGTGTAAGCAAATTGATGATTTCAACATCAGCGAGGTGATATGTAACGTGTCAGAGACCAGTATCGGGACGAAGATTAATGAGGCTCAGTAAACATGTGCGAGAGCCTCAATGGAAAAAGAACTCTGTTTTATTTTTCATTTCCAGCGACTGCTTTACTGTTATTGTAAAATGTATTTGCAAACGTAGGTCGAATAATACTTTAGTCAAATTGTAAGTTAAGGTTTTTATAAAAAAAAAATGTGTTTTTTT